GCTGCTACCAATACCTGTAGGTGTATAATAGTACATGTTTAATGAGGAATTAAAGTTTCATTACAGGTGGGATGCTGTTGTTTTCTGCAAGCCGTACATGTACATTTTTAGCCGTAAAACAAATTGAGCCTTTGTTACAACTGATAATGTAGTAACCAACGGATAATGTATCACCAACCGATAATGTCACACAAATTGACCGATACTGTATCACTAACCGATAATGTAACAGAAATTGACCAAAAGTGTAGCAAATGTTACTGCACTATCAACAATCCACTGATAGTGTAGTACATTTTTACTACACTATTGGTCAATTTTTGTTACATTATCGGTTAGTGATACAGTATCGGTCAATTTGTGTGACATTATCGGTTGGTGATACATTATCCGTTGGTTACTACATTATCAGTTGTAACAGCCTTGATGTGAGTTGAAATTTGAACCTGTTCTCAATTCATCATCATATCATCTAGAACTTTGGAGTCTGGACCCTGCTGAGGACTTATAAAGCCATTATGTCAGACCAACGTGTGGTTGTGTCAAACTCAAAGGTGAATTGAGCACGCATTTGTGCAGTAATACCCAGGCCTGATGTTTTGTGAGCCGTTTATATATTTATTTGGATTCAACCATTCTGCAATCCAAAAACGTCCTGTCCAACTCCCACGTGTTTATGTAACATACCTAGTGTGGACATTGCTTTGTTTTCATGTATTAAAGCAAAACCTGTGGAAAAAAAAATCATTTTACTCACACACTGTGAAACTCTTTCAACACAATTTTTTTTTCTATGATTCCCTTGAGTGTTTCTCTTCATTTTAAGACGGATAAACCGCACCCCAAAATGTCTCTAAACCTGTTTTCCAGAGAGGGGGAAACCTTGTGTGGACATGGGCAAGTCCACACAAAGTATCTGAAAACTGGTTTATGTGGACATCTTGTGCTCGGAAGTCCACACAGTGTATGTAATGCTTGTACTCTCTGTCATATCCATCTCATCCACTTCCTTCAAAATCAAGCAATCACTTGAAGCCCTTGCTCAGTTTGCTCCCTATCCAATTTCCTACAATACCTAGAATCCTCCGACCATTTATTCCCCAACAGGTCTAAAAAACAAGAGGTCGCGTTCCCCATCATCTTTCTAATAATTCCCAGCTCCATGTATGGTACCTGCATCCTCCTCTTTCCCAATTCACTTTGTCCAATTCTTAACCCCATGATGTTGCCCTTCGAGTGCCCTTGCTTAATTAAATCCTGTCCTCTCTCAATCCCCACCAGAATGATTAAAGTCCCGTGCCCGAGGTTTAGCCAGTCACAATCATTCCCGATGACCAATTAGTTTTGTGTGCCTCCTGATAAGAATCAATTTGATTATAACGGACTACAATGTATATGTATGATAATGCACACACTGATAATTAAGGCAGTGGCTCCGTCCTCACAATGTTTTATTCAATTGGTCCCAACCCTCACGTTGTAATTAAAAGATAGGCAAAAGCAATGATATTTAATTGGATTGTAGAGTAGATGCACATATTAGTATTACCCTGATGCTTTGAAGTTTTCAACTTTCCAAGGGCATAAAGTCCCATGTACTGTAGGTCCCTTGGCGCTACAAGTACCTTCATTAGCCTTGCAAAAAGTCGTCAATCTTCCTGTCTAATTTTGAACAATTAGGAAGGTTTGGGCTCAAAGATACATTTTAATATCACTGCATTATTTACTTTGGCCCTAAGTTTCCCAAATCCTTCAAAATCCTCTTTGGAAAGTAGAGGATTTTGCAGGATTGAGGCTAAAATGTGTGGCTGATTTTGGAGGATACACTGTGCCAAGGTTTTGGGCCGGACCTTGTGTTGTTTACATGTATGCTCAGCCGTGCATAAATTGAGGCCTGGATTATACCTGAAATCCTCCGCACTGCTCCAGGATTTCACTGGCTCTGCCTATTGACAGTGACTGCTGGAGGATTTTGCAGGATTGAGGCAGTGGTCACCCCTCCAAGGACCACATTCAAGAAATAACGGATGATTTTGGATGATTGAGGCTGATGCAATTTTTACCCGGAGGCAGTTAGAGGATTTTGCAGGATTGAGGTTGCATCCTAGCAAAAATGCCTAGTTAAGGTTTTACGTGTACATGAGTTGTTTATTCTTTTTATGTTTAAAAAAAAAATCAGATAATTTGTTTGAATTTGAGGAGCTTGCAGCTGCTGTATGTACCGGTACATATGTGTAATTATAGCCTTTTGGGAAGTGATTGCAGTGCAGTTTAATTTTAGAGCGATTACGCCCCTCAAATTTATTCTTAATTAGAATTTGGTTGGCACAGGTCTACACTGCGGACAGCTTGCAAGGAGCGTCTTTAAAGTCTAAAATTTGTTTATTGCCTACAAGTACGGTACAACCCCTACCTTGTACAAACAAGTACATCACATAGAGTGCGTGCATGCATTCATGAGCTTTTTTTCAAGTGAGGTTTACAAGTGCTTTGAGTTTGATGAATGTATTTTCCCATTCGAGAATTGTCTTGTGTCAAATGATCTTAGTCTGCCACTGGGCAATTCCTGTCTGAGAGGCATCATGGTCACGGAGCAACCTGATCCGACTTGTGTATGTAACGGTACTGTATGCTGAGCAAAGCTGATGGCATTGATCAAGATGAAGTTAGAAAAAGTCAAGTACGTAGGGATTTGGGGGGTTTACTCCTCGGAAAAACCGTCTTCAAGTTATATCCCAGTTACCATGGCAACATCTGTGCTCTTCATCCCTGCATTACAGTGCATGGCCTTCATTTGTACATCGTGAATCCAATAAAGGGCCCAATCAATGTATTTTTTGCAATCCTTGAAATTGCATCTTAGTGTCCCATTCAACCATATTTTCAATTTTCTTTTTGATCTTTTCAAGGATATTTTGGTTCCTTTTGTGTAGTTATGCTAATGTGAATTTTGACAATCATGAGCAAACGTGTGATGTCATTTTAGGCAGAAACCTCAATGTTACAGTTATTTCAGCACCAAGGGTTGCCAATTTTTTTTGGATATTTTCCTGTTGTAAAATTTCTTTTCTTTGGTGATTCGTTGTTGTGTCAGTACCGGTACATACATGTATGTACATGTAGCAGTAAGCCAATGAGCAAACTTTTCTCACAAATGCTTTCAGTGAACATATTTTGGGTTCACAACTTGAACAGAAAACACCTAAACTGAACAGTGTCCTTCTGAAATGACATCAAAGCAATGGTGTCCTCTGTTGTCCGGATATGCATGGATATGTTTTAATGTTTAAAGAAGTGCACTTTGCAATAAACTTTACCAAAAAGAAATGTCAAATAGTGTTCATACATTTGAGAGGAGTAGAAAGTTGCACAAAATATGTTCCTAAGAAATCTCGTGGACCCTTTAAGAATTTTAATGATTATAAGTACCAAAATGAAACTGCAATTTTTCAAATGATCAACCTACATGTACAGCATTCGTGCTAGGCCCCTTTAGCAATTTTTGGTACTATTTTACCAAGGGCCGTAAGGCGCAACTGGAGAAGCTGATAAATTAGTAGTAATTTCCCTAGAGATGGAAATAGATAATGCTCCGTGGTAACCAGAGGCCTAGGCTGTATTTTGGTGGATGTTTAACACGAATTAGTAAAAGAAAACCACCAAAAATTGCATTAGACAGATTATGAAACTGTTTTGCAGCCGACTGAAGTGAAGAACCGGAAAGAATTTCTTGGGCAGGCGAGGTCATGGTCCACTGCCAGGTTCTTGAGATCCTTTTAATGGATGGGATTTAGTATGAGGTCAAGCTTGTAACAGAGGATGTTGCGCATCCCGTAGGTACTGCAGATACATGTACATCCGAGTGTGCTACCTAGACATTTGTTGAAGTGCTCTTTAGGATGTCCTTGGAGATAGAAAAGAGTGAAATTGCGCATTAATCCTTAGAGTAAATTCTAGTTGTGATTGAAATACATAATGTACGTACATTGAACATGTAGTAAAGCTACAATCTCGAAAGGGTATCAAAGAACTTAATGTACATCACAATGTAAATATTGTAATTTAAGCAGGCCAACTTAAATTTGACTGTGTGAGACATCTATGATGAATACACAGAACACTGGGTTTTTTTTCTCTGTTTTCCCGTAAAGAAAAAAATAACAAATTGATGCCGACACAATACTCTGTGTATCTCATGTTTAACAAGAGCAGCATTTTGACATTAGCGGCAAAACATCTGAAGTGTTTGCTTGTCCCGTACTAGGCACCGAAGTGGGTCACACAAGGCCCGTAAAGATCCAGAAGAGGGGCAAGGGTGTGTCGAAACAAACACTGAGACAAAAGGAACACTCCCTTGGCCTGGCCATTTGAGTGCTCTGCAAATAACTTTACTGGACAACAGATGGCCCGCAAACAAAAATAGAACGACTCTGAATAAAAGAAAGATGTGGAGGGTTTCAAGGCCTCTGAGAGGTTGTATAAATCCATGTGTGGTTTTATCAAATTACATGGGAATTGGTAAAAAGATTTACATGCATAGTGCACTTATTACAGGCATGAGATTTCTCAGACTTTTGTATGAAACAGACTTTTTGAAGATCAGAGAAAGACATCAAAATAGAAAGAAATGCCTCTTTCAGACCGTTCATCTAATTTTCAGACCATTTTAAAATTGACAGTCTTATCCCTATGATTATGCAACTGACAGCAACTTCTTGTGAAATAAACCAACGTACATGTAAGTACATTTTTTGTAAAAATAAGAGCCTTGGTCCCCAATGTCTTTGGGTTGCAGAAATGCAGGACCGATGCATGACAGAAAATGGCAGTCAAGTACCCTCACCTTTTTGTAAAATGTACAATGTACATGGTTTGGCAAGAGGGCCACTTTTTTTGCACGGTGTTTCTTTTTATTGACAGATGAGTCTAAGTTGACAAAAGAAAGTTGATATTTAAACAATTTCTTTTCTTTTTCTTTTTTGACCTTGTTTCCCATTCAGGTTCAGGGCAAGTTGATTAACAGTCGGCTGTTGCCAATTTGGAGGAGGCCGACATTCTTCATAGCACCAGTATTCTCACGGGACGCCATGTCTGCTCATCCAGCCGAGTTCAGGGACCTGAGATAGCGATTCAAGGCATGGCCAGTAGGTTAGCATTGACGACATCCGAAAGACCTGTAAAATATGCTACAACTGTGCAGACGGATCGTGCCGCCTGACTGTTCTCGTAAATTTATAAATCTTCAAGGGAGTTAACATGAGTTAATTAAGATCTACGTAGAGTATGCACAGGAATCCAAGTTTCAAATCTTCTACTATTATAATAATGTTGAAGTAAAAAGCTAGTAAATGAATATGACCTTGCTGTGGTCAAAATGTGAAGCCACTTGGGCATTATTTTTTGGAATAAATCTTTTTTTTAAACAAGTTTATACCAACCCTAATATTTTCCAGTCATGTCTAAGACTGGAAAACAGAAAACATACGGTACAGATACAGGACATGCAGAAGATGTCCGTGGACCTTTGAACCAATGTGATGGTCAGCAACATGTGCCTGTGCATTCTGCTTGTTTGCATGTCAAAAATCAACTGCATGTCCTCTGTACATGTTTGAGATCCAAAATTGAGATTAACCTACTTCTAGTAAGAATGACTTCTATGATGCACTGTTCCACTTCTCATCTTTACACGTATCATAGGTCATCTTCTATGGAACTGCTAAGCATTTTTATGAGCACCAGCAGTTTTTGTCTTAGCCAAAAACTGGATACCAACCAAAGTGCCCTGGGATGTGAATTGTTTCTGTTGATTTGTAAGCGTTTAAAGTTACTGAGCAATATATTTCACATGTACATGTACATGAATTTGGGTCCAGGTACGGTGCTGCGTACCTTCGAAAGGGTAACACCAGAAGTACAACTGAAGTTTTGAATAAACGAACACATACATGTAAGTCGTGCAAAGTCATAAAAACCTACAGCAAAGTTTGGACATGCAGTCCGACAAAATGTTGACACATTTACACCTATGAAAAATGTTTGAATTTATAAACTCACAAAATTGTGGTAGAATGATAATGTATGCACATGATAGGATCCTGAAGAAAATTGACCCGGTTCCATTGTAATTCCTTTGCTATTATTACACACTTTTTTAGAAGGAAACATTCAATGTATCTCATTATTTTGGACAGTTATTTGGTAATTGTTTTATAACTTTGAAAGAGATAATGTCAAAGTGAAATGTCACCAATACAATCTCATTGATAATCTAATCACAGTTTCTAGTTCGGCAGTAATTAGTAGTATTGTCAATTTCTTTTTAAATTTAAACACGGATGTCATTCTCTTCGAAAAACCTTTCAATTATGTTCTGACAGCTGATGTCCAGGTGTGCATACATTCTTATTTTCAATTTATTTCAACAATAACGGCATTAATTATGGTGATGTAATTCTAGACCAAAACCACCCACACACATTAGCCTTACAATAGAAAGCATGCATAGCCACCATATTAACCTATGTCAAACGTAAACTGACCTAAAAGTTTAACCGCCACCTGATTTTTTTTTAATCTCGCTAAAACCGTGATAAGTTTAACCGTCTGTTGTCGGTTTACCACTTCCTGCATTTTCTAAATTGGTACCCCCAAATGCCTCTGAAATCCTATTAGCATGTACATGTATACAATACACGTTTACAACACAAAGTGTGTGGGAGAACTTGAGTCCATAAAGAAGGGATAAGTTGTGCTTGCAATACTTTTCCCGCTTTTTTATATGGCCTTTTGGCTTTTGTAACAAAAGAATATGATGATTGAAAAGAGCTTCAAGTATATTACTTAGGGAGAAATATTGTTCATAAAAATGAGGACTTAAATTCTGTTTTGTTTGATGTGTACTTTCTCACTTTGCAATTCAAATGTTCAAGGATATCATCCAACATGGGAGGTGCGAGCACTGGCTCTTTAAAATTTCAAGTGATTTTTACACAGTCCAACTTCCTGTAAACATCCATTGTGCGGCATTCCCTCCATCTCTTTAATGGGCCCCAGAAATAGACTAATGCAACTTGCAAGCAATTTGCAAGTCAGTCCATGCGGGCCAGAATCCATTCAGTTAAAGTTGATGCGTGAAGCTTGTGTGTATGTGTTGGAAAATGCCTAGAAGACATCAGCGCAAAACGGACGCAAAGCTAGTGATGCATTAAATACTTCATTGAACAGTGTCTAATTGATTCAGTTATCAAACTCTCCAAGGGTTGTCATTTTGATGCCTGTGGTGGTGAATTTTCACAACAGTTTTTGCCATTTGTTTTAAATTTAATGGGGGAAAAAGTTAGAATCCTAAGCTTTTCCATGCTTGCTGTCTTGACTCAGATTTAAGACACAAAGAAAAGTCTTCATGGAGACCATTTAAGCAGTCTAGCTTTAATGTCAATAATTGTATTTTAAAACAAACAAGCAAAATATCCTGAATGCAAAATGAAAATAAGTGGATGTGCACCAGTAGTGCATTAACTTTCATTAGTAGAAGGTTTTTCTTGTTGTTACCTTTAAGATTATTGTTATCATTAATCTTTAACCATTAGACAGCAATAAATGAAATCGGGTTTCGATGTGAAGACTTCCAGATTTTGAAGGGGAAAAATGCTTGAAAAATTAATGTACAAATGCACTTTCTTTTCTCCAGAGATGTTTGTACACGACTACCAAATTTAGGCACGCTTCCATGATTTTGTTTTTCTTGTGGGGCTTGGCTCATTTTTTTTTATGAATACATCTAACACATGTAGCACATTTTGAGCAACAGCTGATGTGAAATATTGTTGTCTATTCCAAGATAACAGAGTGAGGGGTTCAGGGAGGGGGCTGCTTTGATCCTGTCCCCTTCCTGAACCCGCATAACCATTTCCCCGTCTGTTCACAAACTGAAATTGGTCTGAAGAATCCTGAGCGTCATCAGACTATAAACCTATAAATATCTCAAACAAATTCCCTTCAGGCCTTCGCAGCTTGTCAGATTTTGAAATACCAATAAGTCATACTGTGAGTCGTACACACACGCACACAAACGTGTGTTCACCGTCGATCGTGGACGTCCTATTGTCCCTCTTTTGTTTGTACTCCAACTTTTTATGAAGACTCCCATAGGTTTTGTACATGACCCCAATCGCGGACGTATGCTGGGAATCGTGGACGATATTGTTCTCTGGTATTTTTCGTCCACGGTTTGAAAAGATGAACACGTACACAGATTCTTGTTCCATAGTTGTGGGGACTACACACGAGCTGTCCCATGGTGCTATGGGGACTGAAGACGCTGTGGGGACAGCGGTATAAATTCCCCACAACTCTGTCCTAATTAATTACCCTAACAATAAAGAACTTCCCCATGACGTGGTGACGGCCCGCCCACACACACACGCGCGCGATGCACGTGTCGGATGCAAAGTTTAGGATGGCGTCCTGTGCACCTGGGGCATGAAATGTCGCACACATTGCTGATGGATTTGTAGCGTAAACGCGGCAATTCTCACACATGGTTTCAGAGTTGCACCCGTGGGAGCTGACCATCTGTTAAATCCTGTTGTTGTACACGTACTTGTATAAGGAGGATAGCGTCAGCTGTAACAGCGAAAGCAGCTGACTATTATATTTGCTTAATGGCAAAATCTAGTCACTTGTAATTGATGTCAATAAATCGGTTTCAATTATCCAGCTTGACTACCCTGAATGAGTGGCTTTCAATGATTGCCCCAATTTGCTGAAAGTTTTAACACATAAATTCAAAAGCGCAGCTGGTGGATCAATTGATGGCAATTACATGTTTGGCTGACGATCAATTGGATTTGATCTTATAAATCAATATTCCTGTTAGTCAAGGTGCGCATGTTTGATTTGTTCTGGGAAGTACATAATAAATAATAATTAACATGTAATTTGGACCTGAAAATACTGATCATTGTTCCAAAAAACACAAGCTAATATCATTGCAGTTGCAACCTGGACACATGCCACATGCAAGTTTATATCATGAAAAAGCATTAATGCTAGTTCACATTTCCTTTTGGGTGGCAACCATGATTTTAATTTTGTGGTAATTTTTTTTTTTTGATTGAGTTTTCAGTTAGCAGAAAAAGGAAAGGCTTTCTCCAATTATCTTGAACAGTTTCAATTTTCTCAATCGACTGAGTCACCATCCGACACAGAGTCTTAATGAAAAGTTTGCTAATAAGAAAGAGCAGGAAATTTGTTGGAAAGAAAATGCCGTCTGGGTTCACATAAAAATGTCATAATTTAAAAAACATCAACAGCTGTTATTTTCTGTTGCCTTCATTGCATAAGTTTGAATACAATTGTTGCCTCCTTATCTCACACTCCTTAATTTATTGATGTTGTTATTGTTGACAAAAATTGGTCGATACATTACCATCTGAAACGTGTTCTCAGAGTGGTCACCATGTTTTCATTTGTGACTGTCCGGGGAAAAATACCTCAATTCCCTGTCGGCATTCGATCATTATATCTCCTCCAACAATAGCAAAGATTTTACTCAGGTGTCCATTTGTCCTTGATATTTTATTTCCTATTGTTGCCCATTATTTGCTCTTCATGTTCTCTAGAACTCCATAAAGCTAAAAACCCTGTGTAAAGACTTCGGCAAACACGAACATCTAAGTGACACAGAGGTATTGGGTACTTCAAATATCTTTGAATTGGATGATGCTTTTGGGAGGCTATTCAGATGAAAGGATGTTGGGGAATTAAAGGATTAATCAGTTTCACGAAGGAGTATCTTTATTGATTGGTCTTGTTACATGCTGGTGTGTTTCTGTTACACATTTGTGTTCTATTTTCTACCTGGAGAGCAGGGTTTGAACGTGCAACCTACGAATTACCGTTCCAGCGCACTCTACCAAATTAGCTAGCCATCTCTATGCTTATTACACATTTGAAAGTGTTCGATTGCACTAACTTACTTTACTACTTACGTATACATAATTCACATTAAGAGTGATCACCCGAAGTGCCTCCTATTTTTCCACTTTATTGATCATGGATTTGGTTTTTATGTTTGGTTTGTGCTTTGTTTTCAGGAGATGGGGGGGGGGCATTCATTTGCCATCAGTTATAATTTATAAGAATAATTATTCATTTCTAAAGCGCAGGTTCCATAAAATATGTTCAAATGCACTGTGCTCTACAATTCTTAAAATTTCTAAAAACACTAACAGATCAATTCATTCAAATAATACAAGGTTCACTTCTGTAATGTATTTTTGTAAATAAAAGAAAATACAGGGGGAAAATCAGTTGTATTTATGTCATTAGGTTTTTGTCCAAATTTGGGATTTGAAAATGCCCCTTCTAGATAATAAATGATTTCTCATCAATGTTTTCACAAATCTGGCATCTTAGCATCAGAACCCAATTTGTAAGGCAAGAATTGGCAGTTTCCTTGAGAGATAACATTGGATTTACTGTTCAAGACACTACACATGTAGTTGGATCAAAGATAGAGAACTGGTACCAAAAAACTTAAGTAACATTCCATCTTATGCTGTCAGTGTACAAATGTAGAACAAATTTGAATGTCTAGCCAGGGATAGCATGGCTCTGCAAAGGTGAAGCCAAGGCTTAGCTCACAGTGGATGGGCTGTACAACTTAAAGGATAAGTTTTTGAAAAATTTCATTATCAGTTTTATGCGCACATTTTAATTCCAGGCTTTTGGGACAGCAAACATAATTATCTCTAACAAGAGAAAAACCATTCAACTTTGTGTTTAGCCATACAAGGGGAATCAATTTTTAACCAAGTTTCTTTAGAAATCAGAAGAAATCCCTTTAATAAAAATCTTCATAATCTGATCGAATCACCATGCTTGTGTTGCCATATTTCCACATGTACCACAGACACTGTCACTGCCACTATCAATGTTAATTAAGAAGCTCGGTGGACGCTTGGGTGATCATTTGCAGCGTCGATGTTGAATGCATTTGAAAAAGGCAAAGAAGGTTTGATTAAAAGCTGTCCAGAATGCTCTCACCCCATTTGTGATGGTCATGAACATGGTATTTAAGGCTTAGTGCCTGTCTCGCCTGATTGTTATTTTAAGATGTCATCATGTGTTAGACATTAAAAAGCATGTTGATGATTTGAAAGGCTACGGACAATTCCTCAAAGCCATGACAATACAGGGTTAAGTTGTGAAATGTTTCAGGATTATTCTCACAATCGTTGTTTTGTCTGTGGGCAAACCTTTATTCTTGCATGCTTCTTGCGGAGTTCATACTACATCCATCTGCACACATTTAGCTGTAACTAAGGGTGATGATTTGAATCAATACATAGGCCATGTTGCTGGGATGTACAGTAGTATCCAATTGAAAACCTGGCATTACTTTTTTAATGAATTGCGCTCATTTGCTGACATTATTGGAACTGCTGTCAAACGTAACCAAGCATTTCTAACATGAAACAGTTTTTTCCCTTCATTATTAAAGAAACAAATATGTCACAAGCAATGCCCTTTGATACCAATAAAGTCCAAGAGACTCAATTTAATAAAGAGGCGGCTGTTCAAATTCAGGATCCTCCAGAAATAGAACTGATGGCTTTTTTTTCTCACTAACAAATCTGGTCAAAGGTTCCTGTAATGGATGGAGTTTGGCAGGTTGAAATTGTGGACGTTATTATAAATGGTTTGATTTGTTCCCGTAAACACTCTTTGCAGTGGTAGTTTATCAATATTCTTACTGGGCAGTTCTAGTTTTGGAAAATGTATTTGTAGGACAGTTTAATAGGACAGTTGTAAACAGTTTTCAGGGAGTTGGGGGTGGACACCAGTTTTAAAATTGTCCTGTGTATTGGGTTTTGTATGAAACTAGACATCGTTTGTAATAAATTATTATAACAAAGTCAGAGAACTGGGCCAAGCAGAACAAACTGAAAAACCAGATGTTGATACCAGATGACAGTATACATGTACCTGATAACATGTAGTTTTGCATAATTACTCTCAACTCTATTTAATTACAGCATTGTACATGTTTGTATCTGGTGAACAGTCCCGCAAGAAAAACAGTCATCTCTCCTGAAAATCTGGCTTTTCCCATCATGAAATCCGATCTGGCCTTCTTTCAGGCTTTGTCGACTAAGTCTGTGTCTGAATTACTTTAGCTAGAGCTGATAGTAAGTGCATTTTGCTATTGAAATGGCCACATCCACTTCCCATTGCTATATGACTTCTGGCCACATCCAAGTAATTTGGATGCGGCAGGAATGCATCAGTGATGTAAATGTTTGTAAAGGAGAACAAACATTCGGAGGCTTGTCGAGGCAAAGTCTTCGGAAATGGAGCAAGCAAATCTCGTTCCTCCCAAATTTGTTTCAACCAGCTTGGTGATGAGTCTGTGAAATCTATGCAGCTGACTTTCAAAGTCGTGCAGCACTGCATGCCTAAGCCGACTAGGACAAGTCTAGGTTTTGCTGCTGATATTTTTGTATTCATGTATAGTTATTATTTTTGTATTAAATGATTTCTTCCTTTTCTGTGCCCTTCCAATCCTATAGTTAATGTCTTGTATTGTGATTAGTTCTTTAGCTTAAATTGTCTCTTGTTAATTTCTTTATGATATTTATTCTTTAGTTCTATTTAAAAAATTGGTTGATTTTTTTTTCTCGTCCTGATGTTTGTCAGTGTAGAGTTCAAGCCTTTTTTCCCCATTTCTTTGTTTAATTTTATTTAATGTGACAGACATTTAGTAGTAGTCTGTCACATTTGTTTTTACTTTGAACTTTATTTAAAGTGATGTATAGGAAATACCAAATAAATGTTCACACCGAAAAGCAGGAAATGTATGTGATATTTCCTCATGTAGCTCTGACAAGACGTAAGTACATTTCCTTGTCCGTGTATCGATTATTTCCTTAAGTACTATTGTAACTGTAAAATGTAAGAGATTACATGTACATGTACACCCCATAAGAAAAGTAGGTCTTGTGTGACAGGAAAAGAAGTCTTCTAAACAAATATTTGTGAGTTCAGTTATTAGCGTTTTCCTTACAGTACTGTCATAACTGAGATTGCTCTTTTATCTGATTACACCCTGCATATTACGGGCAAGGCTTAAAATTATGAATACACAAAACAACGGCCTGCTTATTCTGTAGTGCTAGGGTAAATTGTACTTTCCCTCTCTTGTTTATACAACGTATATAACATTAAAATAACAGTTAAAGGAGTTCAAGCCTTAGGGTTGTTTTCTTGCAGGAAACAATTTGAATGCTTTGGTAAACCATGCCTTAAAATTTCCAGTATTAATACTTATTATGGTTTCTTTCTTTTTAATCGTGTTGATGTAAGAAAAACAACAATGCATTTGCACATTCAATGGAGTGTCATGAAACACTACTGTTTTTCATGATAAGTGCTATAACTAATAAGGATGCTGTACTGTAGCCTCTGCAAATTTGCCTTTCAGAGTCCTTGTTATGAACATGCCTGAAAATTGCAATAAAAGAATAAAATCAAAATGTGAAACAGTGAATTTCCAACTATCAGGTGCTCAACATTTTCCATTCACGTTAAAGGGAATATACAACATTTGCAAACATCGAAAAATAAAACTACCAAGTTTTTACGAAATACCTTCCTAGGATGTTGGTAAATGACAGTCTCAAGCATCTTGTAAAATTATGGCACCTGGTGTGAAGGCATTTTCAAGAAAATGGTATTTTTTGTTCACATTTCCAACGGTGGTCGGCCGACCGGCATTGGAAAAACCTAACTATTTTTCAACTACTGCTCCAAATTTACCATTTTTTTAGTCCAAATTTTGTTTGCTATTGGTTACATGTTCATGAACGGGTGCAGGCCAGCTAGACTGGTTCCCATGCCTTACAATTTTCCATCATCTATAAATTGATCCATTTTATCTTTTGTGGAGTCAGGGAACCAGACTACATGAACATTTTTGTTTGTCTTGGTTTTTCCAACCTTTTCGAACACAAAACTTAAAAAAATGTCAGTGAAACAATATTTGATCAATTATACTAACCCCTCAAATAGTTCATTTCTGAAAATTACAGCAAAAGCCAATGATGTACATTCCCTTTAAGTCTAGGTCTGATAAGACCTCCATCGCCAACAATGCTGTAAGGGCAACTGGGAAAATGCCATGATAATTTGTCCCCTGAAACATGGTAATGACACCTCTGGGGGTGACGATGTAGCAAATTAAATTGGCAAAGCACACAAATCATCACCAAAGTATCATGCAATAAGTATAACTCATAAGTGGTTGTTGTAGCTGATTTTTGCTCAACAAATACATTTTCTGGGCATATATTTTCTGCTTAACAGCTTTATTGAATTAGCCCAGGATCTTAGATTTCCCATGATGAGTGCATTTTTTTCTCTCAAAAAGTGTGTGATTAAAAAAAGGGACGACATTTGCAGTACTGATGTTCATTGTTTTGTTTGCTGTTGTTAATAAGAAGCCTTTATGTGGATGCTTAAAGATAACATTACTGTTACCATGTAAATAATGGATTGAAAGCCTACAGTGGACATGGATGATCTCAACGAGTTTATTTAATGTAAATAGTGATATAATTCATATATTGTTATTTTCCAGTAATAAATTGATGGTGGCCATTTTTGTCCACCGTTGATCAGTTTTCAATAAAGAATTTGAGAATTGAAATGGATTGTTTTTTATTTCCTTGGTTATCAAGTTCCTATGATTTTTTGAACTGGTTTCCATAATTTGAACTGGTACCATC